TAAGTAGTATTGGATGAAAATGTCATTTATAGGCTTGACATGGGAAAGGCTTCTGTACACTTTTGAGCTATACTCAAGAGCTAAAGGTACTTGTGAAGGAACAATAACAATTTACCAGCCAGACAGATGTGCCCACAAACTAATACTTGTCTAAAATGATGATTTATTTAATATCTGCAGTGGTGTCCACATTTTTCAGTCAGGTATAAGCTTTGTGCTTCTTGCTGCCCGCCTCTGGTGCAAGAGAATGTCCTATCTCTGCTTACATTAAACTTTACATAAAGCCCCCTTCTACTGGATGGGCATCTATAGGATATTACGACCTCCAAAAATAGCACTCTTGGCTGCAGTGTTTCTCAGCACTTTAAGTTTGGCAGAGTCAACCAAAGCCAATTCTGCATTTTTCCTGTCTGTTCTGATCCAAGGGCCTCAAAGCAGCCTCTGCCCAGGAGTTGTAGAGCTGAAGTCGTGCAGGATTGCAGGCTCTGTGGTGGTCTTCCATGAGTCAGTGTCTTCCACTTCCAGCTGCAGGAGGTGAGTCAGCTCTGAGCATCTGGTGCTTGCCCAGGACTGTCCACCTTGACCACAGCATCCTAATTGTGCTCCATGTTGAATTAAGGCCAAGTGGAAGTCTGCTGGTAATGAAACCTCATGGATGTGAGCTGTAGCTGAACCATCTGTGATGCTGGCCACGCAGCCAGTCGGTCTCTGCCTTTGCCACTGCTGCTAGTGAAACCTGAAGTCTTCAGAGTCAGTTTTCCTACCTGTGAGACAGAGCAGTCCATTTCTTTGCCTCTGAGTGATGTTTTTTATAAAATATAAGTATTAGTGGTGTTAAGTGTTTTGACTGTGCAAGTATTGCATAGAAGGACCTATAAATGTCAGGTCTATGACCTGAGTTCAAACCAGTGAACTAGAAAGTGTTGACAGCCTTAAGCCAGCTTTTGTGTGCTCATTTCCCCTTCTGTCCATCTGAAAGATTACTTGTGCAATGTATTTTTATTTTTATCTGACAAAAGTAGCAGAATGTCAAGCAAAGAAGCATGACCCATTTCTTAGGCAAGATCTAAAACCTGCTCACCGGGCTGCTACTAAGGTATTGATATCAGGGAAGCTCATATTATGCCACGGTATTTATCCTGCCACCAAAAATGAAACAGGCTGCCACCTTCAGACAAAATGGATGTACTTTACAAGCCAATGCATGTCAATGTCCAGCACAACTTTTCTATCACCTCTATTTGTGTTTGGACCATACAATGAAGCAGAAACATACTGTTCTCTTTCAAAGTGACCATGAGAAATGCAGCATCAGTGGCAAATGATGCAAGTTAGGAATCCAACTTATCATTTTGTAATAGGAAATTATATAAGCAAGACACCATCAAAGTATCTGTAATATCTGCTAATGGTCAAACAATACTTTTATAAGAGCATCACTCATCATAAACCACTTTTTGACAGGATTTTGTGTAATGCTAGATTTGGTGTGCACATCACGCTGTTCATGGTTGCTGGTCATAACATTAGCTTCTCCATGGATTTTTTTTTTCCAAATGTAGCAAACTCAAAGCAATTTCAAATCATACCACAGCTCTTTATTACTAGAGAGCTTTTGGACAAAGTACATAATCTAGGCTTTCTCAATCAATAGGCAGGTGGTAGCTACTGCATTCTCTTGTGCTACTTGTGCACTTTAAATTTACAAAACTTTTTCACAGACTTGAAGAAACTTGGACATGAATCTAAGTTTCTTTAAATTTTTTACAAATATTTAATTTTTCCACCTTTTTTTCCTCTCCTGCTATCCCTTTGGAATCCAGTAGGACCTGGGCCTTGAACTTCCTCTTATGTTGATGTGAATGCTCATTTTGATGTTACACAGAGAACAGTATGACTTGCACCCATGATGTGGGACCCATCATATTCATCATTGAAACACACTAGGGTTTCATTGACTCAGGTGAAAAACAACTGAGATCTTTACAGCATGGTGTGTTGGTGAACACATCACTGAAATACATGATCCTTGTGACTCCAGGCTGGTCGAATGTTTTTATTATTATTTTCAGTCTGGTGCACTGAAACAAGGAAGGTTAGCTGCATCAGGCTCTTAATTTGACTTCAAGTTTTATTAGTCATTATTTTTGCGAAGGCCTTAATTCCCCTCTAAAACATTTTAATTAAAACAGCAATTTCTCAGTGCCGCAATTCATGAGCAGATTTTGCAATAACTTCAAAGAGACACAGATGTTTACTGAATTTGGTGCCATGATATTTGAAACTGCCTACTGGCAACAAAAAATTCATAAACACCTCAAACTTTGCTGCAGTAATGACAACATTTCCTCTTTCTTATATTTTAGCAAGTCTAATATTTTCCCATTTCAATAGACCCATTTCAGAGAGGTGTATAGAAGTGCATTTGAGCCATGTCTGATACACAGATACGGGGTAAATAGATCCTGTTGGGACACCTTTCAGCAAAGGGCACACAAAGCCATTAATCTGTGCACGAGACCTTGCAGAACCTCCCCAGATGTGAATGTGGAAACAGAGGTTCAGTATTAGCTGCCTTTGCACCACTCCACAGTGACTTTGAGTGGCTATGCAGCTCTGCATTCCTCAGTTCCTACCAGCAAAGGGTTGGAGTGATGATGCTTCCTGGCTTTTGATCCCTTCATCTCTTGGCAGCAGGGCTGATCTCTTAGTTTGAGATGGTCATGGAATTTTTAGAATGGCTAGTTTGTGTAAAACGAGAAATGTTAGAGATTTACTTGGGAGGAATTTCTCACTGTTGCTGGATGAGCCTGGAGCAGATCCAATGAGCTTGTTCTGGGAAGATTCTCCAAATGGAGATGGGGCTATGGACAAATCTTAAGTGCAACCCAGGGTCCAGATGCCTTCTGCAGTCTAGGCTGACACCCACTGCAAAATAGAAAATACACAACCCAGCCAGCTGATCCATGCTCTTGGCACAGTTGTCCTCGGCTCCAGCAGTGGGGCTCTTCTCCAAGCAGTGGGACCTGCAACTGATAGTAGGACTTATACTCCTCCCCTCCTTCTGTGCACAGAGGAGAAACAACTTTAAGACACTTTTCAGTCTAATAACTATTAAAAAAGACACAGTAGCACTACTTCTTGGAAGCAGTATATCCATTTTAGCTCTGAGAATCAGGCAGGGACCAGCATAGAAAGCCTGCATGGAATATGGTGTGACATGTCATGTAGCTGCCTTAATATACAATGTAATTACAGTGACAAATTTCTACTTCCTGAAACATCAGGTGCTAAGTGGCTGCCCTGGAGGACAGAGAAAGTTAGCAGGAGAATTTTGACTGATTCTGGGTTGGCAACTGCAGCACTTGCTCTGCACTGGATTAAAACTGATTAGCATGGCCAAAGGGGTCCTGTGAGATGGGAAAGTAGGGTGAAAGGAAATTGGAAATATTAAAGAAATGAAGCTGGGCTGGTTACAAAAAAGTTCTACACTCCCATACTTCTTTCTAATGTGGCAGCATGAGGCATATTGAAGACTAGACTAAGCAGATCTTGTGTGACATCAAGACATTTTTCTGCATGAAGAAATGGGGCTGCTCCCAAGGGGGCTTGGGAGGTGGGCTGGGTTTGAGTGCTTGAGCCTGCAGATTCAGTATTCCTTCAGCAGTGAAAGGACTCAGCTGCATGGGAAGATGGGGGAGCAAAGTACTCATGGGGAGCAGCTACGTGTCCCTGGGACATGTCCTAGCCCAGGAGCATCTCATCTGAGTTCAACTCACCTTAGTGAGAAACATAAAAGTTAAACCAGAAGGAAACACTATTGACATAAAAGCAAGGCTCAGGCACAACTCAGATCAGGTTTGTGCGTTTGCTGTGCCATGAAGGTGTCTGCACTGTAGGAGGGTTGAATGTAGCTTGCTGTCATACACCTGCACATGGTCAGGCCAGTGCCCCCACAGCATGTGCCAACCAATGCTTGCACTGTCCACACAGACATTTGATTAAACTTAAATGCTTGCTCACCAACTTCAAATAGGCTCATTAAGGAGAAAAACAAAACAAAAAAACCTACCCAAACCATATGTATAGCCCATCCTGTGCAATGGAACAAAAAGGTATAGCTTTGTTTCAAAGAATTAGTGAGTGAACAATGCAAAGATTTGGAGTTGGTTACTGGGTTTTTACTATGGTCTCTAACAGCTATACAAAGTCTGAAGACATTGTATGTACAGTACATCATTAATAAGAAGGGAGCTCAGAGTCTACCAAACTCTGCCAAAGAAACTTTTAATACATACTGCACTTCACTCAGTAGTTGTCCTTCTCTTCTCCATGGAAATTCTAATAGCTCTAAAAATATTCTCTTGGAAGAGGACAGAATTATCATTTTTAGATATCAATTAAGTATCAAGTATGGTTACGTAAGCAAAGCCAGCATGCTAGTATTGCACAAGGGGAAAAGCCTCCAGGACAAGAGAAAGTGGAACAGCAAAATTCCCTTGATAACTCTGCCAAAGGGACTGGGAAATGTGGATGCTGTGGCGGTTTGGTTCACGTAGCTCTCGGCATCCTCAGAAGGCAGCAGGTTTGCTTTGCCTCTTCGCTGCCTGTTTGCTCTCTGAAGCAGGTAGGGATCTTCCAGACCATTACAAAAAAAAGAAAGTTACAGCAGCTGCAGCAAAGTGTTGTTGGATTCAATTTCTTGAAGAGTGAGGCTTTTATTTCAAAATATCATATATTAATATATATTAATATATATACTTTAAATGATATAAAGTAAATTGTAGATCCAAACTTAATACTGCTGATTGAATCTTGGAAACTTTACCAAAGAACCATTTTTCTTCGCTTTTCAGACGTCAAAAATCAGGGGCGTTATTTCCACAGAACACGCTTTTCACACAGTAAAGCCACTGTTGTTATCTAGTCACCAGCCAGAGTGCAAATAAGAAATCCATTTGGCTTGGAGATGCTGCGAGGCTTTCTGACCTCCGCTTCCATGTCCTCGTGTGCCAGCCAGGCTCTCGCCATATCCACGCAGGCATCTGTTAGGTTCTTGGGTGGATCTGCAGGAGGGAAAGTCAATTATGTAAAATATTTTATATGGAGAAAGACAGACCTGGGTATTCTGTACAGTTACATTGTTGATTGTGTATCTAGCTGGAGTTCTCATCACCACCCCCTTCTTGGGCAGATGGTAGTAGCCCAAGTAGTAGGACATACAAGTGGAACCACTTTCAGGTTAATTTGGGCTTCCTCCTCCAAAGCTCTTATATGAAGAGGGGTGTGAGAGACCTTATGATAAACCAGAAAGTCTGACCCATTTTTATTTATTCACCTTGGGTGAGATGATTCAGTCTGTGTAGCACAACAGCCTGTAAACCCTTAGCTCTTTCTGACAAACACCAGCATTGATCCAAGTGAGCATGCTAATGGCTTTAGGAGGAAGCACTGCTGCTGAGGAGGGTTTTAAGGATGCTCAAATAAGAATTGACCTAATGGGAGCCAAAATAGCTCTCCAGAGCAGAGCCTTTTGTTTCCTCTCCATGCCGATACAGGCAGATGAATGGTGTTGAGAGGGTCTAGCCCTTGGCCAGACAATTAAGTCAGCAAGGAAACTCAAGCTGACTTGAATGTGAGCAGGCTCAGGCTTTAAATTAGGACTACAAATTATTAGCTAAGCACTTGGCGATATGATGAAATGCAGCAATAACTCGTAGCAAGAGATATTTATTGCCTTGTGCGCTACTGCTTCCAGCTGACCTCATGGTTTGCAGAGACTGTTATCACAAAAATGGGGCTTTTTCTTGCTGCTCCAGAGGAAAATTTTTACTGAAAACCATTTGACTTATTAACCTGGCCAGACAGTCAATAAATAAATAAAACTTGGGGCTCTTTTACTGTTTTCCTCCCTCCCCCAGCTGCTTTTTTCTGCTCTCCTGGTTTGCTGTTGACAAATGATGCTGCTGGGTCTTGTCTACTGGAAAGGGCAGGCAACCCTTCCTTTTGGATGTGCTGCTGAGGGTCTTCCCATGGGCCTTGAAGCAGCGGTGAGGAATGTGGGGCCATAGTACCATGGTCACTTTGGGGCTTCTTGCTCTCGTATGAGATATGTAGTGGCTGCTAAGAAATGCATGCTTTTCCCTTGAGGACAGCATAAAAGAAGAAAGAGCCTGTGCTTTTAAAGGAAAGCTTTGAGACTTGTGCTTTTTATAAGGGAGATGAAAACAAGTTTCAAACTGGACCAAAAAATTGAATTGTCAATTATTCCTTCCCACTCTTTCAGTCACCTACTATGAGTATCAAGAGCAAACAAATCAATTCAGATGCTGTGAGCTTTACATCTTTGGTTTTAACAACTTCATTAGTGATCTATATTAAAGGGCAAAACCCAGGAATAAATTCATAAAAGGTAGGAAAGCAGGTCCTGCTGGCAAAGCAGCTCCATCATCCCTGGATCTGATGTCCATCTACTGCTAATCAGTATTAATTCCTCCGGAGAACCACTGCAAGATTGCATGCCATGCGTATGCATTCATATTTATATACGCATACATGCATGTGTGCTTGTGTATAATATATTGGGAGCTTGAAGGACAGATAAATATATATATCAAAAGGGATTTTAATCCTGTGATCTCTAAATGGATGCTTTCCTGGTCAGGGCAGCAGCTGTTCAACATAAATGTATTTTGTGGAAGAAAAAGCCTCCGTTAAAACTGCTTACAGCCTACGGTGATTTGCTCTACTTTCTTGGCTAATCACCATAGATATATCTTGGATGTTGACTGATTTGTGTTGCTACTTTTGCTTTCTTAACTATATAAATTAAACACACATGGCCCAGTCTTGCAGCCTGGATTGAGGGCAGTACAGATTACAGTGTAATCTTTCCCTGATGCTATCTGAAATGACAAAACAAAGGGGAAAAAAAATGCCCATTTCAGGATCTGATTGCCTGTATTACTTTATGTTTCTAGGTTTGACACAGTAGTAGGGATTCAAGCAAAGTTTTGGGGATTATGAAGTAGGATTTTTACTTAGAAAATGCAAGAGACAGTTGCTAAGCACATCATGTCATGTTGCTTTTGCCAGTTGTGGTCTGTAATGATATTTTGAAGCAACAAAGCAAAATTCTACTGGAAGCAGCACCATAAGGTACTCCCTTCTCAAGCTAATTAAAATAACTCCTGTGGGTAAATGACAGAAACATTTTTCAGTTATGAGCACTCACTTCTGTAAGTATTTAATTTAAATGAAGTACAATTGTGCATACTGAATAGGTTGGACTATACATCTGAATATTAATGAAGCTATTAAATTTCCAGCAATCACCTCTAGATGTAGAAATGTTTTGGCTACTGCTGAAAACCAACTTACATGATCAGGGTTGGGAGGATTAAGTGCAATACAAGTTCACAGAAGAACATTCCTAAAGTATATAACCACAAGACTGACTTCAGGAATGCTGCATTAGTATTACTGGTTTTGTGCTACACTTATAATATACATGGTAAAAGTGGAGTGTACTTCTGCATGTTGCTTATCAGTTTTAAAGATGGCTTTATTCTTTTTCTTTTTTAATCCTAATTTGTTCAGAAAATAAGTTGCTAAACGGAACAGGACATGCATTTTTTTTTTCTCCTTTGCAGTAAGGAACACACAGGACAATCTTTGAAGGCTGTTTCAGCTCAGTGGAAAGCTGCTGAAGGCAGGGACCAATTTGCAGTTACAACATTGGTATTTTAAGTTAGTGAGGTACCTAGATGAGCTGTCCTGAGGAGAGCATTTGAGAATTGGAGCTAGTTTGCACTACAAATCATTCCTTCCAATTCAAAGTATTCTTGGCTTGGGATAAAATTATATTTGGGTGAGGACAAACATTCAGCAGTATTGGGAATCACCTGGGCTAAAATCTCCTTCTGCAACAAAAGGCTTAGGAGATTAAAAAAAAATTTTAAAAAAATGCAGTTGGGAACATAAGAAAGAGAAGTAGGGAAATTGTAACATTAAATGACATTTCTGTGCATTTTTAGCCAGGTACCTGTGTGTAGAACTTGTTAATAAGCAGGAAAAAAAAAGTTTCTTGAACATCTTGCTTCATTCTATTAGCAGATTTCAAAAGATATTCTCTGTTTTGCTGAAGATCAAAATCTTATTCGGCCATAAAAAACATGTTCTGAATTGAATTGTAATTTTCTTGAGGAGGAAATCAATCATGTAGCATGTAAACAATTTAATTAAAATGTCTGAATTCAGGTAGAAGTATCAGTTTCACAAAGATGTCTGTGAAACATTTGCAGAACGCAGAAACAAAGCTAGAATCTGTTTTTGAAAGACTTTTTTTTTTTTCTCCTTCCCCAAGAAAATTTTGTGGTAGGAAAATTTTGGCCATTGCAACCTGTTGGTCCATGTTACCTGACATCTCCAAGGCATCTCCACAGGGTGAGGAAGGGGAACGGCAGGGTGGAATTTTAAATCCTGGTGGACAGTTGTGCATTTGCATTTTTGACTTTTTAGTTTGGCTCAGGGTGGAACCAAACTAAATGGCTCCCAGTTAGATCTGGGATCAAGTGGATCTCCCAGTTCTCCTTATTTGCTATGCTTTGAATCATGCTGTGGAGTATTACAGAATAGGAAAATTTTGGTCTTTCCAGGTGAAAGCCGAGTGGAAGTTGTAATGTGGGAAGGAGCTAAATGTCTTTTCCAGGGTAATTTAGCAGGACTGTGCTCAGGGCTGGAGCTAGCCTGAAGTAACACCCAGAATGCAAGTAATGGGTTGAGTTTCAGCTCAGCTGCAAAACACCAGTAAAGCTACTAATGTGGAGGCAGCTTGAAATAACTGTGCCAGCATGCAATGATTGAGATGGTAACTGCAAGAATGATACTGGAAAAGATACAGATCAGCTGGTGATAGTGATTCCTTTTCCTATGAGCACATACTGGGTACAGGCAGAAAGAGGACTTACTCTGGTAGTCTTGATTTTATTGCCAGTTGCACACATCCATCCAGAATTATCAGGCAATGTTTTGCATTCCTCTCCCTCTAGGCAAGGCTCCATCTCGCACCACCATTTCCCAATCACTATTGAAGCTAGATGAGGAAAGATAATGTTTACAGTGTAAAAATGAAAAATGTGATTAAATAACATGTCAAAGTGCTGACATTGTATTGAAGAGGCAGAGTGTCCATTCTAAACCCTCCATGTGAAACTAGCTGAGAGGGGTCAGTCTTGGATCTTTATGGATGTGTATGAGGTATCTCAAATCTAAAACTGTATTACCTTGGAGCATTCCCCAAGGCTTCCATGACTTGTGGCTGCCAGAACTCCCAGAATCAATTTTTGGTCCCCTTTTATACCTCCAAATGACTTTTTTTTTTTTTTCTACAGATGTCTGCATAATATTTTAACCCATGTAGGTTTTCAGCTTCCCCAATATCCCACGTTAAGGAGTTTCATAATGAGAAATAGAAAGTAAAGCTGAATAGCAGAAGTTCAGACTGTTAGTTGAAACACATCATCAATTTTATATCAAGCACATTGTGTCTATTAGTTACTTTTACTTTCCAAATGTTTAACATTATTAATAAATTACCATGTTTGACTCTTGCTGTTGGAATTTCATTCGCATATATGTTTACCATCTTGAGTGTATCTTCATGGAGCTTTTTTCCTTGGGAAATGGTATCTGTCTGTAACCTTAAATATATCTTAATGGCATTTTTGTCTGGAGATTTTGATAAACTTTTACTGACCTTGGAAATTGCAACCAGCGAGTGTATGAGCAGCTCTATCTGGTTTGTTTTCCCTGGTAAGAATTAATTTCATGGTTGCATTCATAAACCTTAACTGTCAAAGTTTCTCACGTGCCATAGAAAAAATTAACCCTTTTATGGTCTTGAAGCAGCTATGCAGAGAGTTACAAGTTATATTTGAAGCATCAGTCAACCTTGTAGCATGGATTTCAGTCCTGGAAAAGAGCCTGTTGTGCATGCATTGACTTCAAAGGGCATTTCAGCCATGCTTAAGGTCTTGATTCATTTCTTATCTGGTTGCAATCTGTTTATGCCTAGAGACACCCAAAGACCCAGGTTGCTGCTGGTGACAGTATCTTGGCTGTTGTCCATCTTGCTGCCCTGCTAGACTCATTGTCTCACCTGAACTACTGAATGTGCTGCTCTAATCGTAACTGCTAGGAACGGTTCCCCTTTGATCTTAGCTCTGAAAAGAAAATTGCCTTTTTTTTTCCCAGGAGTGTTCCAATTTAGTGTTTTGTCATTTTTTTTTCCAGTGGGGTGCATGAAAAATGCACTAGAGCCAGTGGGGTCAACCTTGAGCAGTTTTAGCCACTTCTGGTGGCTGCCCCTAATTCCCCCTCCTCCCAAATGCTTTCTTGGCCCCTTATCCAGCTTGCTTTGCTGCATGCTAATAAATAACACAACCCTGGACAACATGCATGCCTGATATTATATATTCTATAAAGTGGAGGTGTATACACCTAAGCTAAGCCAAAATACTACTTTTAGGTAGGAATATAGCGGAAGGGAAAGACATGTCCTGAAAATAATTGAGATTGATTAAATAAACACAATATTATGTCATGTGCCCAGTAAAGATGCTAATTTTTTGTATAAAGATGCTAGTGAGCTCTAAGAAATAACGATTAATTTAGACTGCAAAATCTTGCAAAAGAGGTCAACATATGCAGTCATTATATTCACTTCTCTTTAAAGTCTCTTTGACACTTCCTCTTAAGGTGATATAATGGTTCCTAAAGCAAGCTGGCCAAATGATACCCTGCCCCCTTGTTGAGAAACGTGGTTGATCCAAATGGTATATGGCCAATACATTTGGTGGATGTGTTTAAGTATAGCACAAGCTAGTGCAAATTAGCACACGCTGGGGGAATGGTGTGAATATTCACACTAATAATACATTGTGCAGTGGGGAAACAGAAAAATCAAACCCTGTTAAAAACTGGCCTTCATAACAGTGAAGCATCTTCAGAGCATGATGGAGAACCCAAGATTTGGAATTGGAAAGCGATGGTCACAATCATTTCTTAATAGCAGTGCTGTAGTATTAAATAACCATTGAACAGCATCCTACAGTGCTTGGTGCTAAGAACACTAAACATTAATAGCAGTGCTGTAGCATTAAATAACCACAGTGCTTGGTGCTAAGAACACTAAACTAAATGCTCTGGCACAGGGGTTTTAAAATGCGAGACAGTAGATGAGCACAGACTGCCAGGGCAGTCTGGGGAAGCAATGCTGCTTATTGTGTTCAAAATGATGCAAGTATTTAAGGCTGTTCCTAAATGCAGCCAAGTATTTGGTTGTTGACCTTGAAATAAAATCAAATGCAAAGTGACCACTAAACCTTAATGCCAACTCATTTGCCTCGTAGTGTTGAGCTTTTAGTTCTGTGTACATATTAACTCATGATCACAGCATAGTTCTAGTCACTGAGGCAGGCCAGCAAAGGCATTTGCATTTTTCTAATAGAGCAGTCACTAATTTTGCTACCAACAGAAACCAGGCTGGGCTTGCTGATACCTGCCTGATCTACCATGTGAATAAGCATGAGCCACCTTTACACATTAGTCTGGTTAGTACTATATGCACAAACACATCTCAGCAAGCCCTGACGTTATATCAGTTATCAGAACAGAGCTCATCCCTGCAAAATCTCCCACCAACTCAGATAGGAAAGATGCTGCCTAATCATTGGTCCTGCAGTAGCTTTCTGTGGGACCATGTACCCTGTAAGATATGACCAATTTAATATCAACCTCAACACCCTGCTTGGAAACAGTTTAGGGATGCAAAGTTAAATGGGAGAATCTGAAAACTCAGGTTGCTTATTTCTGTTTGTAAACTTGAATTGCTACAGAGCTTACTATGATTTAGTCCTTGACACAGTGCTGTGACAAGGAGTGCCAAAACTGGATGAAAATTATTTTGAGTATTGTTTGTGATTTTCCACTTCTAAGAAGAGCCCTTCAGTCTTTAGGACCTGTTGCCTTGCTTGGGCACTGCTGATCCTTGGGAGTCCACTTGCTTTCAAAGTTTTATGCCTCTAACTCTGTTTAGAGATGCAGGAAAAAGCCTTAAAATGAATCATGGTTTTGCGTGTTTGAGATTAGGTATCCCTGAAGAGGGAGAAGAAAAGCTTCCCTGGAGAATATGATTTAGTTTCACTCTCTCTAGGCTACCTGGTTCAAATGCTCTAACACAGTCATGTGAGAGCAAGGAGCATTAAAAATTAAGACACTTTCCCTCGGGCATGGCTCCATCCCAGGTCTCCTGGACCTGAGGAACCTGAGTGGCTTTGCTACCCAAACTGCTAATTTTAGGGGAGAATTACAGGATCCTGTTAGGCAGCAGGCATCCCAGGCTGTGAATGCTCACATCGTGCTGAGTTAGACGCTCCTAATGCTTTGGAGTATTGTTTTTTTTTTTTATTGTGCTCTTTCTCACTATCTGGGGAATACATGAAGAGTTTTCTCATGAAAGGCTGGTTTTATGGAGGCAGATACCCTTGGCTATGTGCAGAGGAAAAGGATATGATATGAAAGGCTTGACTATTTTTTTTAATCCCTTTTTTCTCCCAGCCCTTGCCAGTTTAAACAAGGGATTGGTTATATCACAGTTCTTCTCAAGGAAATGCATCTTTTATGGGAATATTAAACTCTAAGCATCCAGCAAATGGAGCTTTCTTCAAAAAAGAAGAGACTTTTAGCCCAATTCAGACTGGATATTTTCACCTTCATTTGCAAAACAATAGAAAAATAATTTCTGATTAGAGTATTTAACTTAATGCATTTACACACACATGCACAAAGCATCTGGTTGAAATGATACTTTTTAGTCTTGTGTACCAAATAGAGAAATAGACATAGGAGACCTGGTGATCAAATATAGGGATGCATATAGGGCACAAGAAGAGCTTTTTTTGCTAGTGTTTATGAATCTATTGCATTTTAAGATGAAAGCATTTCCATACATACTTCCCAAAGCCTTAGATAGCTGCAGGGAACATTCAAGTTGGGCTGAATTCAACTGGCTTCAGCCTGCAAACTCCTTGAGTCTCTCATAAGGATTGCATAAAAGTTGAGGTTAGATTTTGGTTTGGTCTTGCATGTCACCTGGAGTTCAAGGGTCCGGTGCATGATGGTAGGTAGGGCAATTTCCCTTCGAATTTCAGGGGGAAATATTTCTATTACAGAGCTGCAGTAAAAATGTTCCGAGCATCCACACCTAACCTGAGATAAAATCAACATGAAAATATTAACAATTTATCTTTTCCCCCTGAATTAAGCAATATTTGGAGAAAAGCTGATGTGTGATTTATCTGATTAAAACTTTCCTGCTTGTTAATACTCCCAAATTTGTTGAGTTTCACATTTTTCATTCTTCTAAGTCTTGCATTAAACTGTAGCTACTCAGTTCTTCAGAAGAGTCCCTAACTGTCCTCTGATCTACGATTAACGGGAGATGGAAGAGGGAGGTCTGGGGGAGAAAATGTGCAAAGGCAGCCCAGAAAAGTATAGACTCTTGAATTGCATCATGTTTGCTACTCTAGCATGGATTAAAAAATGCAAACACTTTTTTTTTTTTTTTTCTTTCAGATGCACTTCTCCAACATCTCTGCATCTGTACTTAGGGACTTACTTTAACGACAGGACAAGCTACATATGACTGTAAATAGAAATATACTGTATGTAACAAGGTAACAGTCTGATATTACTTAGAGTATAATATAATATACAATGTCATGTTTATGGAACACCCTCAGATATGAAGAGGTGCAAAGTACCATTGTTCTTCAATGGTTTTGAGGGGAAACCTGCTATATCTTAAAAAGTTGCAAGATTGCTTCTGGATTTGCCATTATAAAGTTGTAGTTGCTCTCTGCCTGTGAGCGAGTACACACTGCAAATAGGATGCAACGAGATGGAGCTATTAGATCATGCTTCTCCCTAATCTTCCTAATCACAGGTATCATGTTAATCTATAGAATAACAGGGAGAGTTTTCCCACAAAAATGGTAGGACACTTGCTGCAGAATGGGCGAGTTTTTATGGTAA